AAAAAATCTTACTTTTTTCTCTCAAAAATGATGCTTGCTGTATTATAAATTGGTTATAAAGATTGTTGACAGGATATACGGCCGTATATAAACGGCTAGTTGCAATATAACCCTCGCCTAACGGCTCGGGTTATATTTACAAATAGCTGTTTAAATAGGGCCATATAACCTGTCAACAATCTTTATAACTAATAATATAAACAACTTTTGCTTATATAACCCGTGCTGCTAGACGATGGTCATACTGCAAAATAATCGTTTATATATGACCACATATCATGCCAAGCATCTTTATGACGAATTTATTATTATAGCAAACGTCCTTTATTTGAAAGAGAACAAAAGAAAAGAAAGGAAATTATATTATAAATCTAAACCAGCCTTGTATATACTTTATATAAATGTCACGATTATCCAATGAAAAGCGACGTTACAAACGTGCAGTATTAGACGAGTATATGCTTATATAAACCGAGCTTCTCGGCAATGGTTATATGAGGGGCCTCCGTGGCCGAGTGGTTAAGGTCGCTGACTTGAGATCACAGGTCCCTCACCGCTGTAGGTTCGATCCTCACTCGGGTCGAAATCTTTAATGTGAGGAAGCCATCCAGCTGGCTTACGGAAGGTCGGTGGTTCTACCCAGGTGCCCGCTCGTGCCCGAAATAATGCCCGGAGGGCACCTGGGGTCTTCCTCCACCAATAAAGCTGGAAAAAATCGACGAAAAAATCTCGGCGGGACGCTCTAGGATGGCCCGAGTGTACGGTCGCCCATATGGGCTTTCCGGCGGCGACCTTAAATAAACGCATTTAAAAAAAAAAATGGTTATATAACGAACAGCCATATAACCCGTCAAAGGTATGTAAAAGAAATTTAATGAAACTAAACAACCGCTTACTTAAAGATTGAGACAAAGACATAATTTTCTCCATCAGTAAAAATCGAAGATAAAACCAACATGATTATCCAATGAAAATCGACGTTACAAAACGTAGGAGTATAAATTTTATAAAGATATCGTGACGTCATGATTATCCAATCGGTATAATCACAATTATCATCTTAAATTACAATAATTACTAGCTTAACTAAAATGTTATTGTCTTTTGAAATTGGAATTACCGAGAGTGTACATTTTTGGTACTATACAATAAAAAAAAAAATAATAATAATAATAAAAATAATAATAATAATGATGATGATGATGATGATGATGATGATGATGATGATGATGATGATGATAATAATAATAATAATAATGAAATTAAATAAAATTGAATTGTAATTATAAAGAAATAAAAATAACCAGCCATTCTTTTAGGTTTGGGCTTTGGGGCGGTAGACTTATTGGAGAGCTCGATTTTCTTGATTTATATATATGAATTAGAAAGGTTACCTCAAAATTCAAAATAAATTGTATAATTGTAGGCAATGTTGAATATTAATCGGTTGACACGTTGTAAAATTTGCTTCTAACCAACTTGCCGCATGTCAAACAGAGCTGCATTACTGGTACTGGTACTGGTACTGCAGTATGTACTGCAGCTATTTTGCAAGTACTGGTACTGATACTGAATTACTCTTACAAAATTTTGCTACTACTGGTACTGGTACTGCAGTACTGTCTTAAAAAGTGGTACTGCTACTGCATTACCCAGTACTTTTGGTTTTGATAAAAATTTAAAATAACATCAATTTTTCTCATAAAATAAAGCTGTATATTACATTAACTATAATTTATTTTTGTGAAAAAGTAAGTTATCAAATCTAAAGATAATTTGCTGCAATATTCCTTCAAATGTTAACATAGTATTCATCATAAAAAGCACCAAAGACTTCAAGTAAAAATTAAATTAAGATTAACAGACTCAATAACTCTTTACCCTAAAATATCCTTATTAAAATCTTTTATTACTTTGTATTTACTAGTAAAAGAGCAAAATAAACACTAATTAATTTCTAAAAAATCCCATTTCAAGTGACATTGTTAGCACCATAAAAAGTTGTTATTTACTTTGGTATAAATTGAACAGAGGTGTGAAGGTATGAAAGGCAACAAAAGACTGTTGTGTGTTAAATGAAAGATGTTTGTATTTATACAGTTGACTGGTTACTAAACAATTAGATATGACATGAATATATGTTGTAAATATTGTTTGTAAAAAGTATGTTAAAACTATAAAGTTGTAAATATGTTATGTTAACTTTAAAGCAGCACGCCTCCAGATTCATCCTAATTTTCATGAAAATTTTGAAAATATATTTGAAGGTAAAATATTGTGAAATGAACAAAGAAAGTACTTGACACATAACAATCGGCACTTAAAATCCACGTAAATTACCAAAAAGAGGTCAAAACATGCATAAATAGCGTTAGTAACGCAGTAAAAATATGGTGATAAATACTACAAAATACAGTCATTAATTGCACATAAGATATAAATTATCACTTGAATCTTTAATTTGTTTACTTTTCTCAAAGTTTTAGTAATTGTTTTCCAAGTTTGATTTTCTTGAAATATTTCGGGTCATCTGGAGGCATGCACCATTAAAGTAAATTATGATTTTATTTCTTTGCTGAATAATATTTGCAATTATTTGTTTGACACTGTATTTATTCAAACTTTGTAAAAGTAATGGTACTGATACTTAATTACTTCACCAAAAAAAGTACTGGTACTGCAGTACCGAGCTAAAATCTAGTACTGGTACTGGTAATGGTACTGCATAATTGGCCAAGTACTGGTACTGGTACTTAAGTACTATACCCTTAGTACTGATGCAGCTCTGATGTCAAAATGTTTTTGCCCATTAGGTTTATGAACTCAATGCCTTAATGTAATTTGTCGTGTTTAATGTAATATAATAATTGCATTAACGCCGGGCTTTATAATCGGAACAAAACGGTTTTTATCTATAATCCTTTTCCAAAGATTTACGGAAATGTCCGAGATGTTGCTATTGCGGGCTTGATTGACTATATTCAAGATGTCTCACGTACATGAGTTGTGTATAAAAAATGTTTGATGTAAAAATGTCATCTGCTAAAAAAGTGTACATTTTATATAAATTCACACGCTTTACTTTGGTGAAAAAAGGCAGAAATTTTGCATCCGTCAGTGTTCATTTTCTGGCACGTGGGTACAATATAAAAATGAAAAATGAGAAATGCCACGCATGCGCAGATATATTATCGGACCACCCTAGCATATGTTTTTCTGACATAACGTATAAGAAATATGTGTTTTCATTTTTTTTTTTTGCAATAATTATCGATTTTGTAAACGATTCAAATTTATGTCATTTTAGCTTTTCCTTCTTCTTGTTCTTCTACTAGTTATTCTCCTTTTGCAAGCTACAATATCACCATGATCGGCATCATAATTACCATCATAATAATCATAATCACCATAATTCATCATAAATCATAAATGGTCGTATTCATCATTCTTTTTGTTATTTTTGTTATTTCATCATCATCATCATCATCATCATCATCATCATCATCATCATCATCATCATCATCATCATTATTATATTATTATTATTATTATTATTATTATTATTATTATTATTATTATCATCATCATCATCATCATCATCATCATCATCATCATCATCATCATTATTATTATTGTTTTTTATCTTCTCCGGGCCCTGTGTTGATTACTCACTCACTAATGAAATTAAAAGGTCGAAGCATTTATACAACAAAGGAAAAAAGAAAACAAACGAAAAAATATCGCGTGATTAAAATGTATTATTTGTAAAATGTTAAATGCATTAACTGACAAAAATCTTGAAAAAGTCATTTTCAAAATATGCGTGAAATTTTGTGCGCATTAAAACAGTGAAATATAAAGGCTAAATAGCGAACGTACGCCATTTATAATACCAAATGCATAATGTCAGAAAAGTGGAAACAATTAAAATTGTTTGGATTTATTTCAAAAAGATTTACTATTCTCTTTTGATGATCCATTAAAAATCATTTCCCGCCCCTTAGACCGCCTTTATGTACAGGCTATTTGTTAGTAATGGGCTTGAAGAAATTTGATATTTAGCATTTTATACACTATGGGTCGGACGGTTAACGATTTCAACTGGTTTAATATCCGTTAGTCGTATTGAATCCGTATGCGGTGTTTGGCACAGGATCGGACTCGGCCCGGTGAATTTTCGTACTATTAGTTCTATAGTAAATCAGTCAAATTTGAGGTTTAATTCTGGATTCTAATGTTCTTGATGAATTATATACTGTCTTCAACTTTAAACATTAACACTATCTAAGTCAAATGATGCCCAAAATATAATAGGTTAGCCATCTACTTTTTTCAGAAATCTTCAGTCTGTTGTAACACTGTTTAAATTCACCACTTTAAAAACTCCTGACAGCTGGTGGGTAGTACATCTTTAATCCTTCCACCAACAAATGAGTTCCTGGAGAATACAAAAAAAACAACTTTTAAAGTCATCATATAACACACAAAAACTACACACATGCAATAAATACACTTTAATTATGAACAATCTAACTAGAGATGACTTAAATTGGGCCATTTCATAATTTTAAAGAACTACTTTCTAGACTACAATGGGCTGGGTCTAATTCCGTACCGGGTTGAGACCTAAATGAATCCAAAATTTAAGTTAAGCCAAACTTTATACTCATTTCCTAGTAATTTAGTGTTATACAAATACAGTCATATAGGTTTGACATGTCTCTAACAAATTACATTAATGCGGTACAATTTCTTAAATATGAACCTTCATGCGAAAAGTCAGGCTCGGCCAATAGAATTTTACGCAAAAATTTATATTACAAATTCTGTCATATCTTTTGATTCTGTAAATGGATTTTCTTTGAATAAAGTTTAATGTTACCGGCTAATGTCATACAGTTACTTCTATGAAAGAATAAGACCTTATTGCTTAAAAATTGTAATAGAAACTCAATTTCTTTAAATGAGAGCATGAAATTTTGGGTTAAAATACAAGTAATCACAATTAAATGTGCTTTTTTCAAATTTTTTTCCTTCAATATTGTAATAAAACTTACTGATTATGATTTTTACCTATATACCATGGTAAATAAAGTAAAGAACCAACATACACACCCTACATTGTTTGCTTAAGATATCAATAAAGACAAACAGAGGTAATCTTAAGGTTAGCAAAGAGGTTACCATATCACCATGGGCTATGTCTTCTGACAAAGTAAGATTAGCCAACTCTCACACAAATAAGGCTTTAAAAAGATGACACATACTGTCCCCCACTTTAAATCATTGAGAAGTCTTAATATAGTCAGAATTAGAGAAATTTTCTCCTGAAATACATCAAAATAACTACCAAATATTGCCCGAGCATTGGGAGGCGCTACCGCCAATAGCTGAAGTTTCAAACTAGACATAAGTTATTACCTTCTCAATGTGTCCTGACAAAGCTGCTGCCAAACAGAGCTGAAGGAGTCCTTCTATAGATCTTTACCAGGATAAGGTAAGGTCATATACTCAAACCCAGGCTTTGGTAACTGCATGGTCTGAAAAAATATGAAACACTAGTACATGCTTAAGAAAATTATAAGGGGCATTTATGCTGTAATTCTAATATCTGAAAAAGAAAGAAAATAATGTCTTAATAAATAAATGGCTAGATTTGCTAATTCACACAGGAGAGCTTATATAAATATTGTGTTCTGAAAAATGCATGAAAATAGCAGTTTAGACATTATAAACCTAACCTAATTTAACTGCTGTAGCAGCTACAACAACAACAACAATAATATATCAACTGTGTTATTCTAAATGAGCCAATTATCCATAAAATACACTGTTTAATGACTAGAAAATCTTTTATGTGTATATATTACTAGCAAATACATTCTGCAACACAGCAAAACATCAAGTTTCACTTCACTGAAAATGCCTATACATGTATTTCCAAAATATAAATCACATTAGTCCTGTTCAATTGTTAGTTCTTCTTCATTTAAATACAGGACAATTAGTGAATATTTACATACTGATTACTACAGCATCAATCCTTTGCTGAAACATCAAAACATATAATGTGTGATCCATATAAGCAATAGGCTACTATGGTGCTTGTTCGAATCCCATGGCCGGTGAATCTTGGGCCCCTTAGAGATCTCTGGAATGAGCTTGCCAATCACTTTTTTTACCAATGTAACCAATCTGAAACCACACACTCCCCAATTCCTTCAAAGCATAATTTATCCATAATTTAAGATGCATTTCTCTAAAAATTATCATTTTCTATATAAATCTTATAAAAAATAAGCTAGATTTATAGCATATTGCTTAACACAGGGTGCAAAAAAAAATTATCAATTTATAAACTGCTTTTTACAAAATTTAAATTTCATTTTTTAATTCTAAATTTATTTTTACAGTTTTAATTAAATAAAATGTGGTTAATTTTTCATGCAAAAGCTCTGTATCCTTCTCCCTGCTTACTGACACAGTAGCAGACATCTACATTTAAAGGGGAGATAACAACAACATCATATGTCCCAATTTAAAATGTCAAATTTTAAAATTTGAAATAAAATTTAAAATTTTCAAACCTGTCAGTAATCCTTTATTTTCCTGACTTCTATTCATAAACACAACACTGATGCAAAGTTTCATCCATATCCATCAACCAGTTCCCATTTTTGACATTTCTTATCTTGGACTCGGCCCGGTGAATTTTCGTACTATTAGTTCTATAGTAAATCAGTCAAATTTGAGGTTTAATTCTGGATTCTAATGTTCTTGATGAATTATATACTGTCTTCAACTTTAAACATTAACACTATCTAAGTCAAATGATGCCCAAAATATAATAGGTTAGCCATCTACTTTTTTCAGAAATCTTCAGTCTGTTGTAACACTGTTTAAATTCACCACTTTAAAAACTCCTGACAGCTGGTGGGTAGTACATCTTTAATCCTTCCACCAACAAATGAGTTCCTGGAGAATACACAAAAAACAACTTTTAAAGTCATCATATAACACACAAAAACTACACACATGCAATAAATACACTTTAATTATGAACAATCTAACTAGAGATGACTTAAATTGGGCCATTTCATAATTTTAAAGAACTACTTTCTAGACTACAATGGGCTGGGACTAATTCCGTACCGGGTTGAGACCTAAATGAATCCAAAATTTAAGTTAAGCCAAACTTTATACTCATTTCCTAGTAATTTAGTGTTATACAAATACAGTCATATAGGTTTGACATGTCTCTAACAAATTACATTAATGCGGTACAATTTCTTAAATATGAACCTTCATGCGAAAAGTCAGGCTCGGCCAATAGAATTTTACGCAAAAATTTATATTACAAATTCTGTCATATCTTTTGATTCTGTAAATGGATTTTCTTTGAATAAAGTTTAATGTTACCGGCTAATGTCATACAGTTACTTCTATGAAAGAATAAGACCTTATTGCTTAAAAATTGTAATAGAAACTCAATTTCTTTAAATGAGAGCATGAAATTTTGGGTTAAAATACAAGTTATCACAATTAAATGTGCTTTTTTCAAATTTTTTTCCTTCAATATTGTAATAAAACTTACTGATTATGATTTTTACCTATATACCATGGTAAATAAAGTAAAGAACCAACATACACACCCTACATTGTTTGCTTAAGATATCAATAAAGACAAACAGAGGTAATCTTAAGGTTAGCAAAGAGGTTACCATATTACCATGGGCTATGTCTTCTGACAAAGTAAGATTAGCCAACTCTCACACAAATAAGGCTTTAAAAAGATGACACATACTGTCCCCACTTTAATCCATTGAGAAGTCTTAATATAGTCAGAATTAGAGAAATTTTCTCCTGAAATACATCAAAATAACTACCAAATATTGCCCGAGCATTGGGAGGCGCTACCGCCAATAGCTGAAGTTTCAAACTAGACATAAGTTATTACCTTCTCAATGTGTCCTGACAAAGCTGCTGCCAAACAGAGCTGAAGGAGTCCTTCTATAGATCTTTACCAGGATAAGGTAAGGTCATATACTCAAACCCAGGCTTTGGTAACTGCATGGTCTGAAAAAATATGAAACACTAGTACATGCTTAAGAAAATTATAAGGGGCATTTATGCTGTAATTCTAATATCTGAAAAAGAAAGAAAATAATGTCTTAATAAATAAATGGCTAGATTTGCTAATTCACACAGGAGAGCTTATATAATAAATATTGTGTTCTGAAAAATGCATGCCTGCATGAAAATAGCAGTTTAGACATTATAAACCTAACCTAATTTAACTGCTGTAGCAGCTACAACAACAACAACAACAACAATTATATCAACTGTGTTATTCTAAATGAGCCAATTATCCATAAAATACACTGTTTAATGACTAGAAAATCTTTTATGTGTATATATTACTAGCAAATACATTCTGCAACACAGCAAAACATCAAGTTTCACTACACTGAAAATGCCTATATTTCCAAAATATAAATCACATTTGTCCTGTTCAATTGTTAGTTCTTCTTCATTTAAATACAGGACAATAGTGAATATTTACATACTGATTACTACAGCATCAATCCTTTGCTGAAACATCAAAACATATAATGTGTGGTCCATATGAGCAATAGGCTACTATGGTGCTTGTTCGAATCCCATGGCCGGTGAATCTTGGGCCCCTTAGAGAGCTCTGGAATGAGCTTGCCAATCACTTTTTTTACCAATGTAACCAATCTGAAACCACACACTCCCCAATTCCTTCAATGCATAATTTATCCATAATTTAAGATGCATTTCTCTAAAAATTATCATTTTCTATATAAATCTTATAAAAATAAGCTAGATTTATAGCATATTGCTTAACACAGGGTGCAAAAAAAAATTATCAATTTATAAACTGCTTTTTACAAAATTTAAATTTCATTTTTTAATTCTAAATTTATTTTTACAGTTTTAATTAAATAAAATGTGGTTAATTTTTCATGCAAAAGCTCTGTATCCTTCTCCCTGCTTACTGACACAGTAGCAGACATCTACATTTAAAGGGGAGATAACAACAACATCATATGTCCCAATTTAAAATGTCAAATTTTAAAATTTGAAATAAAATTTAAAATTTTCAAACCTGTCAGTAATCCTTTATTTTCCTGACTTCTATTCATAAACACAACACTGATGCAAAGTTTCATCCATATCCATCAACCAGTTCCCATTTTTGACATTTCTTATCTTGGACTCGGCCCGGTGAATTTTCGTACTATTAGTTCTATAGTAAATCAGTCAAATTTGAGGTTTAATTCTGGATTCCAATGTTCTTGATGAATTATATACTGTCTTCAACTTTAAACATTAACACTATCTAAGTCAAATGATGCCCAAAATATAATAGGTTAGCCATCTACTTTTTTCAGAAATCTTCAGTCTGTTGTAACACTGTTTAAATTCACCACTTTAAAAACTCCTGACAGCTGGTGGGTAGTACATCTTTAATCCTTCCACCAACAAATGAGTTCCTGGAGAATACACAAAAAACAACTTTTAAAGTCATCATATAACACACAAAAACTACACACATGCAATAAATACACTTTAATTATGAACAATCTAACTAGAGATGACTTAAATTGGGCCATTTCATAATTTTAAAGAACTACTTTCTAGACTACAATGGGCTGGGACTAATTCCGTACCGGGTTGAGACCGATCAGGTCTAATTCCGTGTCACTCCGGTACATACATAGTTATATAAAAAACAATGTAACGATCAAAAGCAACGGTAATTGTTGTCTTGCCACTCTATTTTATATTCTAAACAGGGGAAAACCCGTCAAAATTAAAAAGAGACTTGATAATGATACCATCAACAATCTTAGTTTAATGTATGTTTGACATTCTTAAAAGGATTGAAATCCTAGCACGATACCACATTGTGTGTCCATTTTCGTGTAGAATTATGTGTTTCGGATAGCTTACATTTTCGGACGAAGGAGCGGTATGCAGAATGCGTTGAATAATCATGACATTTTATTTGAAAAAAAATCTGACTGTACCATGGATAATTTTATTTACATTTATATAGCATGAAAGACATTGAGCATAATCCATTTAATATAGCCTTAATACTGCATTTTTGTCGTGTTTGATCTCTATTTATGAAACACTATATCTGTGAATCATTTTCTGTATTATAATGAAATACTACATGTATTTATAAGTGAATTATTTTAACTATATTCTGATTCTGCCGGAACTCCATCTAGAATCTGGCATCCCATTTTGTGTTCCTTCATGGGTAAAGTAGGCGGGTGGTCTCGAGTCGAGTAAACTACCATACCAAAGTTTAGAAAATGACAGAGACGACATTAATGACAAATAACATGCAATTGTACTATTCTATATCTTACCTCAAGTAAGGGATCAGTTCTCGCTGATACGGTTGCATACATATACTATAATAGAAAAGGTTCTCAAAGTTTCACAGTGGAACCATTGTAAGATGAATATGACAGCATTTGTTTTCTCATGTAAGGAGGGTATTTTTTCTCTGACGGATGTATGAAATTTGTCTAGGAAAATAACGTTAAAAATACTTAAACAACGGTTCGTCATCATCATCATCTTCATCATCATCGTCTTCGTCGTCATCGTAATCATCGTCTTCGTTATTATAATCATCTTGATCTTCTTATCATCACCATTATCATCGTCATCATCGTCGTCATCGTCATCATCGTCATAATCATCATCATCACCATCATCATCATTATCATCAGCTAATCCCTCATGGTCGTCATCATCCCCTTTTTATCATCATCATCATCATAATCAACATCAGCATCATCATCATCATAATCAACATCATCATCACCATCATCATCATCATCATCACCACCATCATCATCATCATCATCTAATCCCTCATCGTCGTCATCATCCCCTTTTTATCATCATTATCATCACCATCATCAACGACAACATCATCATCATCTTCTTCTTCTTCGTCACCATCGTCACTATCATCATTAATGTCTTAATCATTGTTTTCATTTAATTTCTATTTTCATTGCCGGACTTAAAGGAATACATGTTTCGGGTCTTTTTTTATTTTCCATAATATATTCTATCTAGCCAATTAGACGCGTATCGACTTTTAAAGTTTAAACATAAAACCCCTGTGCCGAATAACTTTAGAAACCCGATACATTGTTCAAGTAAACAGAAAATATAAAAAAATAAGTTTGTATCAGTAGCAGCTAGTGTGCTGAAGTGTATTATTGTGGTACAGTTTAATTATAGACCACGGACTTAACTGTGTGTTCTTCTTTTACAAACAATGATTCGTTAACTGATGTGATTATTTATTGCGGATTTTTTGGTAAAAAGGTATATTTTGCTGCTTATTATAATTTGTAATAAATGTATCTATTTAACCGTGTGGTACAAGATAGTAATTAAAATTATAGAAGACATAAGTAATGGTTTTTTGGTAAAAAGATATAAAGATCTACTGATTTAAATATTTTATAATATAAACTAATTTCATAATTAATCACAGATTATTTTTCTTATTTTCGTTAATTATAGTTATTTTCATTATAACTGTTAATGTTATTATAATTATTATTTTTGCTGTTGTTGTTATTGTTATTTTTATTGTTATTTTTATTACAGTTGTCGTTGAATTTATTAATATTATTATTATTATTATTTATTATTATTATTATTATTATTATTATTATTATTATTATTATTATTATTATTATTTTTTTTTTTTTTATTATTATTATTATTATTATTATTATTATTATTATTATTATTATTATTATTATGATGATGATGATCATGATCATCATCATCATCATCATCATTTGATTTAGCGTACATGAGAATTAATGCTACGTTTAAATATGCTATCTGGCCGAGAGAAAAATAATTTGAAATAATTAAAAAAAGTAGTTCCAGTGTAAGGCAAGTTTTATCGACACAAATTTGGTAAGGCGTGTTCATTTAGCGATTTACATACTACAAAATCATTTAATAATACGAAACAGGAGCTCGAATTCAAAATTCAAAACTTTTTTTTTCCAAAACAGAAAGCAAAAAAAATGAAAAATGTAATAAAGTAATAAGAGATATTATCCTTACGCACGTGTCATAACTAGATACTCTGATGAAAGTAAACATTAATAATATATGCCTCAATAATAGAACATAATGTCAAATTGACAGCATCATGGCTATGAATTAGCATTAATTAGTCTTGAAATATAAGAATAGCTTTCTTCAATATAAAATCATCTTTTCATGGCGCTTTTGAGATTATGTTAATCATGGTTGTACCTCGATCAAGTTACCTTTATAATATATTATTATTAAATTTATGTGGAGTAGTAAAAAAAACTTGGATCTCTTAAGATATATATACCATTGTATTTTAGAGGTTTCAAAGCTGTCCTTTCTTTTTTCCAGTGGTGAACACTTTCTTTCCGGGTATTTCTTCTTTTTTTCGTGAGTTAATTCTTCAGCTATATAAGATAAAGTTTGATAGATATACGGGACATACTAAAGATGTTCCACGTTCCATATTACATTAAAACGAAATCCAAGTAGAATAAAAAGTGGATAATCAGAAATGTTCTGAAATACTCTGTACATGATTTAAAAAAAAAAACAACATGTTTTGCATGTATTGTTTAGACACACGTATGCTGTATTAAACAAGCACGCGAATGCATGACTCTCAGACTTCATTTCGGTGTGTGTGTGACAATGAGTTTAAGCATAATTTAATTGAAGAATTTAACTCCAACAGCGAGCTAGTATCGGTTTAATCTGGACAATCCCTATCCTAAGCCCCATACATCCGTACAACCCGTCCTTTAACTTCAGGACGGAGTTCACCTATTTCGAGATTCGAACTCATTGCATTTAGGGGAAGAGATTGCACTTGTAGTCAGTCATCATGTCCACTTGACCAAGGGATTCTGGCGTATACGATCTCGCGTACTTAATTCTTTAATCTAATACCTCTTTGTTTAAATCGACGCTTTTAACAAACGAAATGTTTGGAATTTATTTATTTTATTGTAAATATTTCATTTGGAGTGATTAATAACTGAAATTTTAGAGACTGTTAGAGAACGCGGCCAGGTATGTTTTCGGATACTGTGCCATAAATAATAAAGCGATGTAGTTTTTACCACTGTGACAGGTATTAAATTATCTAAGTGTCATATTGAAGGTGTCATAAATTGTGTCTAATAAGAAAATACACTTCTCTTATTTGAAATGATACACACTAGATATGGCAACATTTCTCGAATTTTTACTTATGTTTGACAACATATGAATAAAAGTGTCATTTTTATCGCATTGTTTTTTTTGTCCGTTTTCAAAATTAAGTTGATTTTATTTTTTTGCCTGTGACGTGACGTTTTCAACACGTTTGCGTTAATTAAGATCACCGTACATGTCATGTCGCGACGATATGTTTTGGAAAGTTTTCAAATAAAATACTTTAGTATGTATAGATTTAAGTTAAATTAATAAATTTGTCCGTAAAGAGAACTTTAATTTTAGAGTCGTGCGTGGACTTATTTTGAATTTACACGAATCTGCCTGGAGGTCAAGATCTTCAATTGTTCAATCAGCTCTACGCACGTGCGTAATTGACGCACCTGCATCATTCTGTAGATACAGTAAACGAAATTTTACGGTAGCTGGTTTATATCAAGTAACACAGCACGAGACACTGCATAGCGCCAATCAGCTTCCGTACCTAACTATATTGTGTCTTTTTACTAAAAGATACTTTTTTCTATGCGGTGGCTGAGCATTTAATGTGGCTTACTGCCGAGACTACCAGCACCACCACATACTTTTTATTTCATTTTGTACAGTCGAATAAACTGCCACACTCTAGATACCGTATAGAGGTTGAAACTTACTTATTCTACTTATTCTAAGCTTTTAGATAAATACTTATATGCTTTTATGTAGACAGAGTAGACAGGGTATACAGTTATTATGCAAAATTATGTTACAGAAACAGAATAATGACCTACCTAACACATTTTCAGGTATTACGTTTCTATGTGTGAATTAATGTTTTATTCTTATTTCTTTTGATACATTTTAGTAATATATCCCTCCCCCCTCGCTTTTATCATGGAATACTTCCACCATGGTTGCTAGGCACTTATTTTCCTTGATCTTCTTGACTTACAGGAAAATTTACCATTTTCATTTTCACAATTTTTTTTTGAAATTATAACACATTTAAGGCCAAATAGTTTTAATGTCAAAGACGATGTTTTTTATTTTATTTTAGAAAACTACTATCACTGAATTTTACTTTAAGCTCAATGTTGTTAACCGGAAACGAGATATATCTTTCTACCGGAAACATGAAATTTCTATTTGTCTATTTTTTCTTTCAGATGTATAACGGTGTTCACGTACAAATTGCAATGGTTTTAACGAATTTAAGGTAAGCAAATTAAATTCATTCACAAATACGTATTAGATATTAAGCACATATAAATTGTCAATTCCACAAGTGATAGTTTATATTGTAATTAACA